GAGTGAGTGAGTGAGTGAGTGAGTGAGCGAGTGAGTGAGTGAGTGAGTGAGTGAGTGAGTGAGTGAGTGAGTGAGTGAGTGAGTGAGTGAGTGAGGTATCACAACCCGTTGGCCGCGCCCTCTCCATCAGGACGGCGGCCTCCTGCTCTCGGCCGACGCTTGGTTCTCCACCATCCTCCCCCTTCCCCCGCCCTTACCCCTTTCCCGATTTCGCACGCCGATCCTGCTGGCCGCCGCTCGTCCTCCACCTCCTCGCTTTGCCGATTTGCTGGCAGTTTTGCTGATTTCCTCTCCCCGCTGCGCTCTCGCCCCTCTCTCTCGCGCTCCCCTCCTCTCCCCTCTCGCGTAACCGGGGCAAATCAAACTGAATCGTCGTGTTTTGGCACAAATAAAGGGCTGAGGTTGCGAAGGGATGCGAGAGGAAATAGAGGGAAGGGGGAAGGGGGTAGCGCACGTTTACCGGGACGTTCCAGTGAAGATTTACGACGACCCACGCAGACCGAGCTGCTCTGGTTGGGTCTTATTATTCAGCTATTTTTTACTATCTAAAATTTTCCTCAAACTGCCCAAGCGAGCTAAAAGGTATGCGAAGTTTTACGATTTTCTTGCGTTAATTTTTGTTTTTAAATTGGTTATTGATTAGAAAATTAATCTACACCGAGGTCTACATTGAGGAGACTTTCTTCGTGATACCGTCGAATAAAAGGCAAGTAAAACCCAGCCTTTTGGCAGGACGCGATGAAAGCAGCAGCGTGGATCGGTGTCAAACAAGTGTCACAGTAAATCAGGCTGTGCTGTGCTGCATGCCCCTCGTCAGCCGTGTCGACCTGCGCGCTGCTCTGCAATTTACAATGTCTCGAGGTGCCACGCCAACTTTCCTTCTTGCTGCTGCTCCCCCTGCTCGCTCGCTGCCGCCGTCGAGTAGTGCAACAACAAGTACAGAGTATAGTTATGAATGAGGAATCAGCAGCACAGCAGGGGCCCTGCCGCCGGCGCCGTGCCGCTGCCAACTGCTGCTGCTGCTCTGCCTCAAATAAGGATCTTGGATCCGCCAGAGACGCGCACGCTCTGCCTTTGAGGAGCAGCACAGCAGCGGCTGTACCGAGCCGACTTCAATATGAACGCGCGCGCACGCGGCGAAAGGAAAGAGAAAAAAAATACAAAAAAATAAATACGAGTCTTGCTCCTCCTTGATGCTCCTGGTGCTCGAGCTCAGCCGAGGCGATATTTTATTAACGTCCCCCTCCCGCCCCCCTTGCAATAGTACGGCTGGTGCCGAGCCAGGGCCTTGTATAGTGTAGTCCCAAAAGCAGACGTTCAGCAACGGCGGCGGCGTTGTTGACATCCATTGCGCCCCCCTCCCCCTCCCCTCCTTTCACCCCGTTATGAGACAAGTCACGTGATGTGCCGTGATGTGCCACGAGACACATGTCACGTTTTAAACACCTACGACAAGAGAGGGGGCTGGACTCCCCCAATCCCCACCCCATCTCCATCCGCTCCCCTTTATATATGCTACACTGGAAACGCAAGAGCGTGGATGCCGCACACTTGTAGATGTGTGAATGTGAATGCCGGTTGTACACTTAAGGGAGTATCTTCCTTTGACATTCACACGCTTTTGCCTTACAAAAATTCAAATGAAATTTCACGAAGAATCCAATCACAGTGAAAATTTGATCATCAGCTGCCAGTGGCAAAAACAATTACCGCACACGACGTATGTTCCTGGTGTTCTCACACGTTTGCCGCGCGGTTCCCGTGCCCATTTAAATGCGGCGGGCTGGGCGGGCCCCGTGTTGCACTACAAAGGGATAACAATATAGTGGCAGTTAAAGCAAGACCTTATGCTCGGGATTAGCGGAGGTGCGGGCCGGTACGAGGGGGGAGGGTCGTGGGGGAGATGGGGGAACCGGAGCGGGATAAGGTATATATTCCCACCAGCTCGGCGGCGCGTGGCGCGGGAGGGAGGGGGGACGCTAAGTGAATCGCGTGGGGAATGACCTGCGCCACGGGCGGGGATGACGGCAACCGGCTGCTCTGCGTACGGATTTTCATTTTCCAAAAATGGTATTTCCAAGAAATTTGTCTCAAGAAATTTTTTAAAGAATCTCCTATTATTTTTCGGGGGCTTTTTATTTAAAACAAAAATTCTGGAAATATTCTACTTTACAAATCCCTAGCTCTGCGTCGTCGGGCGCGTAAGATACCTTGGTGCGGGAGGTCAAGAAATCCCTCTGCTCCGGCCGAGCGCCCTGTTTCACCTCCATCCAACAGAAAAAAAAAAAGTGAGCCGGCATTCCATAATGTGGCGCGCGATGAACGAAGTCGCGCGTAAAACTGGGAGCGGGGCTCTCTGCCTCTTTCTCTGCGAGGGATCCCTCTCTCTCTCTCTCTGTTGCTGAAAAATATTTTCGCCGCTGCTTTCTGCCGCCGTTGCTGGCTGCGTTGGAGCATATTAAGATTGGCGCCACCGCGCCTCTGTTCGCACGCCCCTGGGCGTGGCAGGGCGTGGCCGGGCAGGGCTGTGTGGGATCACTGCTAAATGGGCGGGGACGTCCTGCCACACCACGTTACGACTTATGCAGCTTACTGAGCAGGCAACCTCCAGGGTGGCCGGCGGCCGTGGCGGCGCTCTGCTACTACTATCAACCCTCCCCCCGGGCCCTCCCCCGGGCAAGGATTACCACCGATCTTATACCACCGCCACCCCTCCATCGGCGCGGGCTTACCAACCTCCTGGCCGGGGGCGGCGGAGATTCAGCTCCCGCCCCTCGCTCCCCGTGACCCTTGCCGGCGCTCTCTCCATCTCCACCGCCAGCCACCAACTTTTTTCGTTGTTTATGTTGTGACGCAGCGGTCGGTCGGTGTTTGTTTACTTTCCGGGCTTGCGAAAATACCGCGCTCCAAAGCCGGGGCAAGCGCGGGTGGCAAGCGCAGTGCAAGCAGCGGGGGCAGGCCACGAGGGGGGGGGGGCATGACACACTCTGGGATTGTCTCCCTCTTGTCCTTATTGCCAACTGGCTCGCCGATCTCTTTAGGGGCCATTCACAAATTACGTCTTTGAAATGAGAGGCCATATTTTAAGGATCCGTAAGAATCTATTGATTTCATCATAAAAGAGTTTCTGAATTTAGCTGTTCAGACTCTGATCCCACCGCGGAAGTGTAAACCTTCGCGTACTTGCCTCTCTAGAATGCATCATAGTATTGAAAGGTGAAAGTGCTCCACCTCGCATAAAAAGGACGTCATTTGTGTACGGCCCCTTACAACACATCCGATACACAAACCGGCGATTTATCAAAGGCACCAGCCTCATGAAATCGTCCGTGCGTGTTTGTGTTTCCGGGCGAGCGGCTCGGCGGGCCAGGGGCGGCGGTGATCCTCAAAGTGGCTGCGTCCGCCTCCAGCCCACCACCCCTGTACGAGGCGGCGAATGGCGCTTGTGGGCGTTTTCGGAATTTGTCTCCCATCGGGCGGGAATCGTTTTCGTTTCTCTCTGTTTTTATGTTTTATTACTTCCTTTTTTTCGCGGGTGTCCGTCGCGCGGGGGTCCGTTTCTTTTTACGGCGACCGCGGCCGTCCGAGGTGGTTCTCGTTGATCCCTCGTTCAGTTAGGGATCACGGACGCGTTCAGTTCCCTGGGCGCCGCTGTCTCCGCTGTCGCCGCAGCGTCCTGCTGCTGCTCGTCCCCAAACTCCCCTACGGACCCGGGAAAGTAGGCGCCAGCACCTCGGCAGCGGCCGCTGCTCTTCTCACGGTAGCCTAAACAGTAAAAATATTAATTATAATTTTATAAAGGTTGCAGTGAGTTTGTCAGCAATATTTTGTTCTAGATGGGGGAAACGACCTGTTGCGTATCACTACACGCTGTAAAATCCATTCTCATTTTCAAGCAGTTTTAAAAAACCAGGACGTCTTCTAGAAAAAATGCATGGAGCGTCTCTTAGTTTTTCGAATACTGCTTGAAAACCAAGACGGTGTTTTTACCGTGCACGAACGCATTCTTGGCAAAGGACCTATCAGCTGATAAGTACTAGTACAAACAGTTACTTACGTGTGCCGTAAAGGCAGTTGTACTCCTCCATGTCGCATGGGCTGCTGAAGGTCTTGTACTGCACCTGGTAGCCGATCTCCTGCCGGGCGCAGATAGGCTGGAGGCTGATGAAGCATTGGTCGGGCGGCGGACGGCAGTTCTGGGGAGGAGGAAGTCTGCGCTCATCTTGTTCTTCACCCAGCGCTGTTGGGGGCAGGGCAGTGGCAACAATTGTAATTAGAAAAGAACTAGCAGTTCTTATTTGATAAAAATGTTGGCGTAATTTTAAACACAACCAAATTTTGGCCACTTCAAAATGGCATAATTTAATATTCAGAAAGGATCTAAAGTCTCTAAAACAATTCGAAAACTTGACAGTCAAATAGGATTGCCAACATTTTTGCAAGTTTTCCGCCTTGGGACCGTACCGCACACGGCCAGTAGGGCGAGCAGGGCTACAGCACAGAACGACTTCATCTTTCACTGCAGCTCGTACAAAAGTGAGGGTGACACTGAAATTCGCCGTCGTCGTCGACAAACTTTATAGCCTGACAGAGTGCTTGGCGCTTGAGGCGCGCCCGGAGCCGCGAGCGCAGATAGCGCTCTAATCTGCGTCCGCACATTACACACCTTGTTTCCGGCAAAGGTAGCCGCAGACGGCGGCGGCGGCCTGCGGCTGTAGTGCCTGTGCGGCGAAATATATTTTCGCTCATAGGTTTTCAGTTTCCCTTTCTTGTGCGATTTCCGGTTTTTCCGCTGGATGAAATTTACTGGTTTCAGAATAAGTCAGTCTGTGATTACAACAGTTATATTTTCTTTTGCGGCTGTTATTTGCACTACCGGCGACTTCCGCCTGGCTGGTCGCGCGGCCTGCTTGTGGCGCCTATATAACGAGGGCAGTGACTCGGACGTTGCCACAGTCAGTCCGGAGAGAGAAACATGAAGACCATCGCCGTTGCCATCGTGCTGTGCGCTGCGCTCGCAGGTAAGCCGCCGGGGAAAACGAAAAGTGTGGCACGTGTACGCTCATTTCTGGGATATTTTTATTCAGTCGTTGCATGTTTATCGGTTTCAGCCATTTTCGCGGAGGATGACTACTCTGGTCGGCCGCGTCCGCCCGTCTGCGAACAGAAGTGTGAGAAGATCCTGGACCCGGTTTGCGCTCAAGACGACTACGGAAAGAACAGGACCTACCCGAACGAGTGCATGATCGGCTACCTCAACTGTGTCGAGGGGACGAGTGAGTAGAGTGAGACCGTTTTCCGTGGAGAAGTTTACAGGCGTTTTCGCCCAATGTGTTGTAACTTTTTCCCCGATTTGCTCCCTCAGACTCCGTCAAGATCGCCGACGGCGAGTGCCCAGACGACCCAATCGTGTGGGTGGACGACGAGGCGTACTTCGACCAATACGACATGCCCTAGAAAGTTTCAGCTGTGACCGCCCTTCGCTACCTCCCTGGCGAGACAAATAACTTATATTTAGGACTAACTTGCAAGTGCGACGGAAGAGGGCTGAGAAGAAACAAGTACTACAGAGCCCGTTGAAAAGACTCCCGCATGCAAAGTGCGTGCGAAAATCCATGTGGAGCTGCAAGCTGCTCCATTCATCGGCGTCTGCCTTGCATTCTACGGAATGGACTTCAAAGAGACAGTGATTAATAGGACGTGCCTATCTTCGTACTAAACCAGTATAGACTTAACGCCATGCCGAGAGATACTAAAGGATGCTGTACAAAATAGACATGACGTTTCCCTAATAAAAACATTTTCTCAACATAATGTGTGACAAAACAGGGCCAACGTTTAAACGTGTAATTGCCGGTTTGATGTGTCGTTTGGCTCGTCAGGGAATGTCTGTTAATCAATAAATAACAAACTCAAACTATAAGTCATGTACTTTTGTTACAATCCACACGCCCTCACTCATGGTTGCCGTCATCTGCGCCTGAATATACGACAGTTTCTCTGCCGGAGGCTGCCATTCAGTCACTTAAGAACACGCATGTGAAATCTTCTTTTCCACACGATTTTGATGTAGTTTTCGTCCGAAGATTTTTCTTACCGCGTCTTGTTGTTGTTTTTTTATGTTACGTAGTTATTATTCGCTGCCAGGGCAAAATATTACAGGAAAACTCGCCATTATAACACACTACGAGCTACTATCCCAAACATTTTTTGGCCCGACGCTTATCATCTATTTTAAAAGTCTGTAGCATAACAATTTCAAAAATTGCCATGGTGCGGGCTTTATGGAAGATTTGTGAGAAAACATTTCGACAAAGTTTAAACCTATTGAAACAAAAACATGTCAGCCTTTTTTATAATGCCGCTAACACCTTTCAAATCAAAATTACGTAACAATGACAAAAATGTATATGGTCCAATTTTGAGTGTAGGTGAATGCTTGACGAGTACTAGCTTATAGCTTGTCCTTGAACGCACCTGTGCCAACGTGTGTTTACTACGCGATATGTGAATTTGCAGCTCCGTGAGATATGCTTAACAAAACATAATAATCCCACTAATCACAAACTATCAATTTAATTTAAAATCAAATCTGGCACGGCAAATTGCGGCTGTTGGCAGTCTTTATCAAAATGGAAAACTTCTAACTTCGGTAAAAGGGAAAGCCTCAGGGGATCATTTTATAACAGTGTACATTCGGGATCGTCTGTAGAAGTATATACAATTTTCTCAGGATGCATTCGTAACACTACTGGAGTTCAGTGCCTGCGAGACTCGGGGTAGGCTACCCCGCAGTGCCAGTGCACGCACGCACTACATGTGTAATGTTGCCTGTCTGCCAGGCGTTGTGGTAGCGTGCAGATTCAGCGCCTGCGAGACACGGAGTAGGCAACGCCGCAGTACACGCATGCACTGCATGTGGAATGTTGCCTGTCTACCAGGCGCTGTGGAAGCATCCAGAGGTTTGGCGCCTGCGAGACCCGGGGTAGGCAACCCTACAGTACACGCATGCACTGTATGTTTAAAGTTGCCTGCCTACCAGGCGCTGTGGTAGCGTGCAGAGTCAGCGCCTGTGAGACCCGGGGTAGGCAACCCTGCAGTACACGCATGCGCTGCATGTGAAATGTTGCCTGTCTACCAGGCGCTGTGGAAGCATCCAGAGGCTCGGCGCCTGCGAGACCCGGGGTAGGCTATCCCACAGTACACGCATGCACTGTATGTGTAATGTTGCCGGCCTACCAGGCGCCGTGGAAGCCTGCAGAGGCTAAGCTTGGCCAGTTTTCGGTACGGCGATTGACGGACGTAGTTTCCGGATAATCCCTTACGATGATAGACATTCGCCCGCACTTGAGGCGCCTTGAACAGTTACCTAACGGGTTTCTCACTGTGTTCAGAGCGCAGGTATGACGTGCTTTTACATTTTGTAACGCATGCTTCCTCGCAGGCGTTAAGCATGTCGAACGTTACGTTTATGGAAATGAAAAATCCAGCTCACTCGTCCGCCGAACTTGTCCGCACTTGTTTGGCTTGACCTTCGCAAGCTCGCGATAAGTTTCGACTCGGCGGCGAGGTGTCTCGGCGCGCCTCCTCGCGCGTACGTCACCTGGAAATGACCGGTGGCAGTAAAGAAAACAACGCCATACGCGGAAAAGGGGGGATAGCGGTCGGATAGCAGAAGGGGGAGCGGGAAAACCGAAAACACGACCACGCCGGTATATTAGCAGAGGAGCGACCGACAGTCTCCACAGTCGCCAGACAGAAGCCATCCGAAACGACACCATGAAGAGAACTCTAGCTATTGTGTTGTTGTGCGCCTGCCTTCTGATGGGTACGTACAACTATTTCCAAAGCAAGAAAATGACACCTTTGCTTAGCCTTTTGTTTTGGTTTTTGGACCGGAAACCCAATAAGTGTGTGAATGTCGCACACTGTGTGGGAACCTCATTTGTACACATGGAGGCACAAATGTGTGAATTTCAAGTGGAAATTGAAACCTTTACTCCCTTTGTATAGAAAAGGGAATTAATACACGTCCAAATGCGCGACATTCACAAACTTGCCTTCACTGATAAACTAAGTGTTCAACTGCTCAACACTTATAAGTGTGCAACTGCAAGTTGAATGCTTGCAAGTGTGCAACTCCGTAGTCGTACGCTTGCAAGTGTTAAACTCGGTAGGTTTGCACTTGCAAGTGTGCAACTCCTCGGTTGAACACCTCTTGCACACTTGCAAGTGCACACCTACCGAGTTGCACACTTGCAAGTATTCAACTTGCAGTTGCACACTTGCAAGTATTTAACTTACAATTGCACACTTAGAAGTGTTGAGCAGTTGAACACTTAGTTTATCAGTGTTTCAAGTGTATAGTTTTGATTGAGCGAGTGCCATTTCTGCACCTGACCTGATTGTTATTTTTCGTCAGCCGTGAGCGCGCAGCAGCAGGAGGAGGAGGAGCAGGACACCCTGGCCGAGCCCTACAAGTGCCCGGACGTGTGCGCCGCCCTGTTCGACCCCGTGTGCGCCCAGCTGGGCCGCAGGTACCGGACCTTCGGCAACAAGTGCGAGCTGCGGCGGTACAACTGCAAGAACCAGACGAGTGAGTGCACGGCGGCACAGCCACACTGTCTCAGAGTAAAAATAATATTACAGCCGAGAGTGCGCGAAACCTGGTTCTACAAAACCGACGCACAGATGAAATTTGACTGTACAAGGTGGCCCAAATACCCCTGGCAATTTCGAATTTATGCTGTGCCGCATGCAGTCGTGCATTACCTACCTTCTCTCCATGGCGAGTTGGCAAGGAGTCCACACGCCTGCATGCGGTGCAGTATAACTCAGAAGTTGTCTGGAGTACGTGGGCCACCCTCTCAGGAATCTGTTGCTGTCGTTGGTTTTTTCGATCACTTCAACGCCGTCTTATTTTTGTTTCTCCAGGATGGAGGATTGTGAGGGAAGGTGCTTGCCCTACCTACTGATCACTACACGCCGCTCGTTGAAACCTCCCAGGGAAGCACACCGGCCAAAAAGAAAACACAAAAAACAACAACAAAAAAACCAAGACCCGATCCGTTTTGGACTGCAACTTACGCCGACTTTAACTTTGTGCCACACAATTTCATCAATGAATAAATTTTAGAAATCAACTCATATTGCATTGCTTTATGTCCTGTCATTACCGTTGTCAATTCCGTTTGCCGCTCTGTTTAGCCGCATGCCCTTCACATAGAAAAACTAATTCGACTGCTCTCAGATAATTCTTTAGCACCGAGGATTTTAAAAAATGACTGAGGAGACTCGACAAGCCTATTTGGCGACAGTGCAAAATTTAGGTTGGCTTCCTAATTTGGCACCAATCTATTGACAGTGTATAGCTAAATCTTTAAATCCATTTTATTTTTGTTTTTGCGCGGATGTGAAACTGCCCAGCTACATTGATTAGCACTAAATCTGAATTTGTGTTTTTGCGCATGCCGCTTGCAGTGGGTTATGCGCGCGGTCACGTGATTGTTGCGCCGTTGTCACGTTATTAATGGGCTCATTACGAGCCGCGGTCAGTAGTGGCGGCCCGGCCTCGGACCGGCCGGCCCCACTACAAGGTCCAACAGGCGGCCACTAACCCTTCTCCTCCTGGACAACGGGGCTATTACTGCCCCCGCTCTCTCGCTCTCTCTCTCTCTCTCTCTCTCTCTCTCTCTCTCTCTCTCTCTTTCTCGCACGCTCTCACACACATACACACCACGCACATGAACCGGACGCCATTATCGCCAATAGCAGAACGGGGCGGAACTCGGTCGCCGCCGGATTCGATGCGGTCCCAGTGTGCTAAAAATTAAGTATCCGCAGGGGTGTAAAATGTGCTCTAACC